ATTTGAACTAATGCTGAAGTAACTATTCGGTTGAACAGCATCCAAACCTGTTAGAATCTTATAGGCCTGGATCTATGACATATCTCTTAACAAAAGGCATTTCACAATAAAATGGGTAATCTACATATTTGTCCACCTTGCCACTTAAGAGAAAACATTGGTTTTAATTAATGTGGTAATTTAATACAATGACAACCATGATTGGTTAAATAAGTTAAAAGCAAGACTCCCTTATTCACCCAGGGATGCATTGAACTCAGGAAAAGTAGGATGTGGTATAGTTATCAGAACTGCTAAATGTTATGTACATTAGTGATTAAATACAGACATCAACCTGGGGTTTCAGTCCTAACCTGCTGAGCTGCACCCAGAATGGCTACAGCCTTGAAGCTGTAGAAAACGTAATACACGTACAGGTAATAGCATAATATCACTGCAAAACATAACATAGCTTATTCCTTAATTCCCATGCTCCATTTCTAGGCAAACTTGTATATAAGGTAAAATGATGAAATATTATTGTATATAAATGTGTTCAGTTACTTTACATAGTAAAAATCAAAACATTCCATTACTCCTAGCAATTACTTACTGTACTGTACCAAGGTATATTTGATGTCTAATTATGAGAACTATCAAATCGCAGTACTTAAGTTTGTTAAGCATGTTTGTTTTATTATTAGTTGAGTATGTTGCATAAAATCTTACCTTGAAATACTAAATATCTTTTTATTATTCTGGAATCCTGTTCATATTTCTCGATAAAATGGTGACACCAGTCTTAAAATTCATGTACAGCTTTCACTTTCATTTAAAGACAGGAAATTCATATTAAATGCGACCCTCAAGTTGCAGCCAAAAGTAGGTCACATCTGGCTGAAAGCTAGCACCTCCGGTTAACTACCAGCCGTGGCACCGCATTTGTGGGTATGGCCTATTGGTTATGAGACTCCCACATGATTACATGCATGTATGCTTTGGAGTAATGACATGTCTCATAGATTTGTGGATGACAGGTAAATTGCTGCTATGCAGCCTTGTTAATCTCCAAAAAGTTGGTAACATTACATTGCTACATTCATATATGTTGGCAAGGAAGGCTCAGACATTTGTTGGAAGATTACAGTGGAAAGCAACAGAGTTGTGCCAGGTTTTTCTGTACACAGATCCAGTTTTAAGGGGTACATTATGCTCTGAGAGATATCAAAATTTCATGCAATTGTCTGTGGGTGTGTACATTGTGGCAAGTTTTGAGTATTGTTTAATTGTGAATGACTTTGCCATCTCTGTACTCATGGCATTTGTTAAGCATTTTGGTGCAGTTCTGAGTACATGAGCTGATTCATTTGATGTCAAAATACATGGCAATTATGACAATAATCTGACGAAACTAAAGAAAGTAGCTAGACATCCCCACAGTCCTTTAACAAATGTAATACATTGGGTTTCAATGCATTTGAACACTTATTCCAATGTACATCCTCAACAGAGGTTTAGCATGCAGAATTTGGATAGCCCAGTCCCATAGCACATTGAAGGGGGAGTACTACACCTTGGAAAAGCACACCTTGGAGTAAAAGTTCAACTGACATTGTTTGATGAAACTGATTGCCTTGAATCAATTAAGTTTATAAACTTAAATAATTCAAACACAAAAATGACTCTCATGTATAATTTTTCTAAACTTATTAAAACAAAAAATTCAAATTTCATTTGTCACATACCAATCATACACACAGTAGGACTTGCAGTGAAATGTTGCTTTGTGTTTGTTTTATTTTTTGCAAAGGAAAATAAAAGCAAAGCAGTCCTCCACAGAGGGGGCGTGGTGGTGGGACTATATGTATTTAAGAAATTACAAAACAAAGAAAAACAAAAGAAAATAACAATAATAATAAAATATAAAAATAAGACTACAATGAGTGGCAACAACACCAGTAATAGCAATAACAACATTGATAATAACTGCAGCTGCAACCGTGATAACATTGTGTATATGCCTCTACCTTTGTGTGTGTGTACTATTGGTTATGTGTGTGCATGTGTGTGACGTAGAGATACTGTAGGTGCGGATGTATACCTAAATATATATATATGTATTTATGCGTGTGTGCGAGTGTCACGATTTGTCCATGGATGTACCAGTAGTTGATGTGGGGGGCAGCAGTGACACCCTCCCCCCCAACCCCGACCCCACGGTTAAAGCCACCGGGACAAAGGGCCCCGACCATGTGCCCAACCCGCCAAGGAGCATGCGATTCCCTCATCGATTCCCGTTCCTGCCCCCACCCAACTAGCAGGGAGCCGACCCGGACCGCCACGGGATGCCGAGAGATGGCGGGGCCACCCACCCCCTGCAGAAACAGGCCAAAGGGACGAAGACCCGCCATGCAGGACGGGGCCCCAAATGGGCCCCCAGGACCAGGACACCCCAGCAACTAGAAAGCCAGTCCAGTCAGGCAGGTAACTGGCCACCCCCTAGCCCCCCAGGCGGGGAGGCAGAGCCCCACCCCACCCAGCACGGTCTCCCCTGACCCCTGGGACATTCCCATCTCCGGACCACCCTGGCAGACCCCAGCCCCCCCCCACCCCCACCAGACGGCTGAGGCCATGGAGGCACAACCCTACTGCACGCGGTGGCCACCACACAGGAGCCAGCACAGGAACCCAGCCACCGGACCTGCCCACACCAGTGTCATGGTGCAGACAAGCTCAACAGCCCCCCCATCCCCCAAAACGCCACCCCACCTCAGAAGGCTGAGTCCCCGAACCCCTAACACCACCCCCCACAGGTCAGACCCGCAGCAGCCCAGGGACAGCGGCCCTGTGACCCGAGCCAGTGGGATGCCACGGACCCGCAATAGCCAGGACACCCAGCCCCAGCCCAGAGGCCGGAGCAAAGAAGCCTCACTACCCTGAACTACACTACATGATGAAATTAATTATTGGGGTCCAGTGTATTAAAATTCTGTCAGTCAATTTTTTCGTATAGGCAGGCATTCTCTCCATAGAAGTGTGATCTAACAGTAGATTTTTAAATTGCATTATGTTCAATTTCTCTTTTGACTTCCTATTCAAGAGGATTGTTTTTTTGGCGATGGTTAGGACAGTAATATGGAGCCCCTCTGGTGACATAGGAGAAAAAAATATATATTGCGTGGCCACGAATTATAACGCGTGGCCACGAGATAATTAAGTGG